AACTCCAGTTCAAAGCATTCTCCCAGACCAAAACCTCAGCCCTGAGACCCTTCAGACAAAATGTCCAGAAATAACAGCAGATAGGGGTGATGGCTCTGGAATTGGCATTAGCTTGGCACTGTGGGCTTTGTGCGACTCCTTGTGTCATCCAGCTTCCAAAGCTTTATCTTCCAAACCTTCAGACAGCAAGCAGCAGAGAGCATTCAGGACTTAGCAGCAACATAACCCCAGCCAGAACATCTCCTTTAGCTCCAGCACATGGATGCACACACGGCACTGTTGAAGCAGAAGGCTCATAAGACCTGCTTCTCACCCAGCAACTGGCAAAGTTGGAACCAAGGAAGGAGGATGAACTTCCCCGTGATCCTTCCCTGTGGTGAACAGAGAGCCAGGCTCACTGCAGGCCAAGCAAATGCTCTCTCTAACTGAGCAGCTTCAGGGAAAGTGTGCTCCTGAAGCCAGGAAATGGTTTGGATGATGCTCTGCTCCCGTCCTTTGAATCAGGACAAGTGGACAGGGCAGACAGCCAAGCTCAAAATACCTTTGAAAGATGAACGATGATGTTTTCCTGAGAGGAGCTCAACAGCCAACATTAACTTTTCAATCATCAGCAAATAGCCCAGTGTCAAAAACTCTTTTTCATGCCAAATTTCCATACCACCCATCACAAGACTGGGATATAAAGTCCCATTTCTCACAAACACTGGAAAAGTCAGTGCTGCCAGGAATGACTTTCCCTTGCCCCTTAGATTACTATTCAAATCCAGCCCACCTACAGCAATGACAATTCATTTGCCCCCTTCTCTCCACAGCACATTTTCAGGTCAAATCCAGACACAGAGAAGAAAATGATTGGGTTGTTTCATGCAGACAGAGCATGAACCAGTTTGCTGGAGAGCAGCTGTCCAACTGCAATGCCTGCCTTTTGGAGGAGTTACTCACAGCTCTTATGCTTGACCTGTTGCACATAGGGCAGCTTCTGCCACATATGTGGGAACATGAGGGAGATCTGAGATCCTGACCTGAGGGGTGAGACTGTGCAGGACCAGAAGTGGTAAAGATGGGGAATTCGATAACTGCCCAAAGGGAGGAACTGTGTGTTTCCTAAGGACAGCAAAAGCTCACATCTGTTCCGGGCACTGGTGTCTCAACTCTGCCATCAGCGGGGCAGGGCACTGAGCTCGCCGCCCACAGTGCTGCTGTCAGAAGGCAGAGGAAGCTTTTAGACCGTGCAGTATTTAGCAAGGGTGGAACAACTGGCTTCCCTTCCACAGCCATCACCCTCCCCACCACCCCACAGGACTCTAAGAGGGCCATAAATGTTTTCAGCATGGCTCTTTACCAAGCATATGCCATAAATTACAGTCCTGTGCCGATAATAAGTCAGGTAATAGCAACACTTTTTTGTCCTGCCAACTGCACAAAAGGTGGCAGAGGGGAGGGATGAAGGTGGGGGGAGACGCCTATTAGCACCAGGCTGGATTTTACACGCGATGGAAAGTGTTTGTTCAGCTGGAAGTGAGAAGGGTCCTTAACCCAGAAGCACACACTAATGCAAACAGAGTGTGTGGAGGGTGAGGGGCACAGCACAGAGCAGCGATTCACACTCCGGCGCAGGTGCAAGGGCTGCAAGGACCAGGCCTGGGCCAGAGCACCCACCGAGCCTGCTTTTGCTCCAGCTCCATTTCACACCTTATGGAAACACTAATTGCAGGTTCTGCCTTGCCTTAGAGGAGAACACAGGCAGGTGTGAAAGCACCCAGTGCCACAGATTTTGGTGTAAAGCCCACTTGAGAGCTGAGCCAGGGACCTGCCCTGGCCCTTTGGCTGGAACAGACAGGATCCCACTCCAGGCAGAGGGCCTCTGGGCACCACACCCTCTTGTCCTTCACCCAGGAAGGCTCAGCCTATTCTCAGGTCTCCAGAAAGCAAAGCCATGGGTTCACAGCCTGGTTTTGCATTTACTTGTCCAGCCACCTCTGCTGTGAACTCTTCCGGTCCCTCACTGCTCCCACTCCATCACCCTACAAGGTAAATGCACTGAAGACCCAGAGCCAGCTGCCCAGGCAGAGGCACAATGCTATGACGGATCCCAGTCCCCAAAAAACGGGTCCTGCTTTGCCTGGTGAAAGCCAGTGAGTCCCCTGAGAAGAGACAGTGATGTGTTTGGGCTGGTCAGAGCAGTGCAGGGGGAAGGAAGGGACCAAGCCACTATCGAAGAGAGTGCAGAGGAATCAAGGAACATGTATGTATCCATCCATGTCTGTAGCACGTAACTCACCAACAGTCCCTGGAGTTTATAGGATGCACCTCCACTTGGGAATAAACCAAACTCCTTCAGAATAACCTTCTCAGGAAAAGACCTTGGAAAATAAGCCATTCCCTAAAATCCCACAGGTCATCAGGCAGACACTCCATGGATGCAGGCAAACTGTGACATCCAAAATCCCTCTGCAATGAACTCTCCTCCTCCAGAGAGTCAGGAGCTGGCAAGAGTGCCCCAAAAGTGCCCAACAGCCAGAGGGGTCTCTGTGGACTGGACCTTACCAGGTACCAAACACCAGAGCAGTACCTGTAGGCAAAACTGGATGCTAAAAGGCAACATCCCCCTCTGGAATACCTGGTGTGATATGCTGAGAGTGTACTACACACCACCACCCCGTCCCCTCAGGGAGGAGGGAGATTAAAGTCATCCTAAAGGAAATCTGCTAATTCCTTCCTCACAAATCCGCTGTCCAAATCAAGAGGATCATCCAGTACCAGAAGTTAACCTTTCTCATGGTATTCCTGGCACAATGTGACTGCTCACCCCTAAAAGGCAGGAGCTGCCATAGCTGGGGCAAGGGAAGGGACAAAAAAACAGGAAAAGGTGGCTGCAATCCATTTGGTGTCATTAAAACATCCACCAGCACCCTCCCAATTTTGGGACCACTGGCTTGAGCCTTACTCTCATTGCCAAGAGGAACAGCAGCAGCTCATCCAGAAAGGCAAAACCAGGTCTGGTTGCTGCAGGTGGAAGTGATCTACACCACTAAGCAAACCTTCCATTAAGATGCTGGCACGTGATAGGAAAAGGATTTACTTAATTATCCCATGGTAATTCCCTGTTTCACCCACAGGAGGTCACACTTTGCCAAGGCTTATCAGCTTTCCATGCAAACAGCCCAGTGCAAACAGCACTGCTGTGGGACCAGCAAAGCCACGGTTTTACTAGCCCAGCATCCTAGCATTCTCTGATGATCCTCCATCTGCTCTCCAGCCCACCCTAGCCACAGTCCAACAGCCTGAGCACAGGCTGACACAGATCACTCATGCAGCCTCCAAAACACCCAGCACCCACTCCGCACACATCATCTGACATTTTTACAACCTCTACAAGCCCACAGACTGCTGTCGCCTTTTATCCTGCCATTACACAGGCCCCCCTCCTGAAGGATGTCCCCATGCTGATCTTCTCTCTGTGCAGGGCTCTGCCTCCTTGAACACTACCCCCTATGGCACCCAGAGTACTGGAATTAGGTAAAACCATCAGGCAATGCAGAGGCTTTGGCAACAAAAGTGTCACCATTACACTCCTAAAATATCTCTTGATAGTGCACCACTACACTCCTAAAATATCTCTTGATAGTGCACCACTGAGCATCACGTCAGAAGTTTGGAGAGAGCCTTCAATTATTGCTATTTTCAGTACACTGAGAACATATATCAGGCTAAAGGGTATGTTCAGTTCCAGTCACAGTTTACATTTCAGTAGAGAAATTATTCCAGGAATCCAATCCCTCTCCCTGTGCCTGCTCTTGCTTTCCTAAAGCCTGTCAATTCCCAGCTTTTTTTGCCTCCTTTTTTGCACCATGTGAACACCTTCCCTCGGCTGCCATTTCCTGGGAGGGACATGGGAATACCAGCCCTGCTTTCCCTCAGAGAGGCACCATGAGCCCAAATATACAGACTACACAGGCCCCACATACTACAGGGAAAGGATCTATAAATGCTGAAGACAGATGGAAGTTTTTCATCCTCCTACAAAATCTTACCAAATGCTGCCCACACTTATCTCTGTTCCCACACCTCTCCATCCACTTTCATCCTCTTCTAAGCCTGCTTTCCTTGCAAGCTCAGCTTCATTTAGCACAGGGAATATAATCCTTTCCATGTGTGGAACTGCCCTCTAGGACTCTACAGAGCTTACAAGTGAATATAAAATGATGTACTATATTTCCAACTTAACATGTGAATAAACAAATGGCTTCAGGAAATGGCTCTGGCATGTGCCCCATGACATCAGTTCATTGCTCTCCACAGCAGCATTGACCAGTCACAAGGAAGCCTGGAAGGAAGCACTTCAGGAGGGCTGCTCAGTGCTTCCCACCAATTTGGAGCTTAGACCTTCCTTGGAGCAGTGGGACTGCCCTGCCTGGCCACCAGCAGAGGCAGGGGCACGGCAGTGCCCGAGACCCCACTCACCCTGTCACCCTGTGTCCCTCTGCAGGACTTAACAGGGACCTGTAAGAAAGATGGGGACAGACTCTTTTAGCAGGGCCTGTAGCAGTAGAACAAGGCTGATGGTTTTAAACTAAAAGAGGGAAGAGTGGCGAGGCCCTGGCACAGGTTGCCCAGAGAAGCTGTGGCTGTCTCATGCCTGGAAGTGTTCAAAGCCTGGTTGGATGGGGCTTGGAGTAACCTGGATTAATGGAAGGTGTGCCTGCCCACGGCAGAGGGTGGAACTGGGCGATCTTTAAGGTCCCTTCCAACCCGAACAACTCTAGGATTTTATCTTGCCTCTAATCACTGCCCAGTAGTTTTAAGGTAAATACAAAAAACCCTCTTAAGATCCCCATTTAAAATCCAGATGCAATGGCTACAAGTCCTCTGTGTGTTCTATGTTTCATTATCATGCTTTTTACTTTCCTTGTGGTCCTTTGTGGTTTCCTTAAGATTGTAAACCTTCTGGGTAAGGGATTTGTTATCTCTTTGGCAAGATCCTCCGTTACCAAGCTGTGTACATTTACAACACCATATAAAAGATTAGGACTTTATTGGTCACTGAAGCATTGCTAGTTAATAATCTTTAATGTGGCAGTTATTTATCCAGTCGTAAACAGAACACTGCTGCCAAGCCAAGTCAAATAAACACTATGGAAATCCTCCATCTTTAAAATGAACCAATTTCTGTCCCGGACATTGTAGGCTTTGCAAAAAAGCAGTCACATTGTTACTGAGCACAAAAGTAGTCAGATTTTAAAGCTTTCCTAAAGCAATAGTTGTATCCAGTATTTGCCCTGAGCTTTTCCCAGCCCAAAGGGCAGAAACACAGCCCAAGGCCTCCTCACCCCTCACTGCTGTCTGTGGGATGCTGACCAAGGAGCCAGGCAAGGGCTAGGGCTGAATATCTGCAGCCTATGCTGTGTATCCTCTGAGTTATCTCTGTGGATGGAGATCTGCACAGCTGATGTCAGGAAAGGCTCAGCTGGCTGAAGGAGCAGGTCCTGTGGAGACATGGTCTGGCTCTGAGGAACAGAACAACAGAGAACAAAGTTGTATGACCAGAACTTTGAAGGACACCATGGGGGAAAAAAATAAAAAACGTAACTTTTTTCTGATTAAGCATCATTTATATATTAAAACACACACCCTGCATATGCTAACAGACTTAATTAAGTACATGCTCCCACATATATGACTCATCTAGGCTCTCTGCCTAGATCATGCTATACGTGAAGAAGGAGCAGGGGGATAAGATTGGGCTGTATATATGGAGGGTGAAAATTTCACCTAGTTAGGAGGAAGACCCAAAAACACCTTGGAGACAGTTGATGGGCTACTCTCCTCTCCCTCCTCCGAAGGCTTCTTGCTAAATTTCTGCATAAGATTATTATTACTTGGACTAACATTATACTACTGTTATTGTTAGAGCTCTATCACAGCTAGTGCATTTATCCAGGGCAATTCCAAATCTCTATTTCATTAATGGGTTGGGTTGGAAGGGACATTAAAGCTTACCTAGTCCCAACCCCTGCCATGGGCAGGGACACCTTCCACTAGCCCAGGTTGCTCCAGGCCCCGTCCAACCTGGCCTTGGACACTTCCAGGATGGGGCAGCCACAGCTTCTCTGGGCAACCTGTGCCAGGGCCTCACCACCCTCTCAGTAAAGAATTTCTTTCTAATATTTAATCTAAACCTACTGTCTTTCAGTTTGAAGCCATTCTCCCTTGTATTTCTGCTGCTTCAGTAAACCACACTATTCATGAATTTGTGATGGTGAAAATTCTAATAGAATATTACCCGATTCCCAGTTTGAGAACCTGTGCTTGCGGAAGTTCCTATCGAACACAACCACTTACAGTGCCAAATTGGTTATAATCAGAGATTAAGCCCAGCCACCCCCAGCCCCTCTGATCTCCAAAGACCAGCTGAACAAGGGTGTTTCTTTTCTGCCAAATTTCTATACCCTTATCACCACACTGCTCCTACTGCCCTGTCTGCCCACACTGCCCCTCACCACCACCCACCAGCTCTCACAGTCCCCATCACCTCTCACAGCCACTCATCATTACCCTGCATCCCCCTGATGCCTCACAGTCCTTCACTGTCACCTCTCACAGCCTGATCCTTCAAAGCTCCCACTATCACTCACAGCCACCTCTCACAGCCCCCCATTAACCCTCACAGGTCCTCACCACCCCCCATCACTCCTTACAGGCCCTCATAGACCCTCAAACCCCCCCCATCCCTCACAGCCCCCATCACCCCTCACAGCCCCCATCACCCCTCACAGCCCCCATCACCCCTCACAGCCCCCATAGCCCCTCACAGCTCCCTGTCACTTCTCACAACCCCTCACAGGCCCCATCACCCCTCACAGCCCCCATGGCCCCTCACAGTCCCTCACAACCCCCATCACCCCTCACGCCCCCCCCCATGGCCCCTCACAGCCCCACCCGCCCTCAGGGCCGGGGGCGCCTCGCCCGCTCCCGCCCGCCGGGGACTGCGTGCGCGCGCCCGTCCCGCCACCGCCCCCTCCGCGCAGGCGCGGGGGCCGCGCGCGCCCCCGTCCCGGCGGACGCGGCTCGGCGGCGGCGGAGTGCGGAGAGGGCGCTGAGGGCGGTGAGGGCGGTGAGGGTGCGGCTCCGGGGGAGGCCGGGCGAGGGATGGAGTTCGGGGCCGGGCGGCCGCATCTCCTCGCGAGCGGCCAGGCTGGACCCCGGAGGGGGGCGGCCCCGAACCGGCCTTCTCCGGGCCCCGTGTCCGGGCCGCGGGTCGCCCGCCGTGCCCGTGCGAGGCCGGGCGGGAGCTGCGGGGGAGGCTGTGTCTGCCTGTGGGCTGCGGAGCCTCCCGGAGGAGTGGGTGGCCGCGGGGGCTCTGGACAGCGCTCAGGGGCTGCTGCGGTGTGTGCGGGTTAAATGGCCTGTGAGTGCCTTCCAGTGCCTCCAGTGCGGGTCCACCCTGTTCCAGTCCCTGGAATGTGGGAAAAGCTGGGGGTGAGGCGGAGAGGATCCCCCGGTGGCTGGTGATGCTCACCCAGAGCTCACGCCTGTCCTTGCTGGCCGGGCCCCTCGGAGGGGCGGTGGGTCCTCTAAACCCAGCACTTGTGTTCTGCGGCCTCTTCCTTCAGGGTTTTAAGATCTGTGAAATGAAAGTAAAATTTTGTTAAGGGTTTGTTCTCACGTTGCTCTTCCTCCAGGAGCTGCTCTATGAAACACACATATATATATACACATATATATGTATATGTCTGTACAGCCTGTCCTTCAGTGAAAATTGCTGCTGTAGTATTGGGACTGCCAAACTGTTCCCCACCACCTGAACATCAGATTTAGGGTACCTGCCGAAATGCTTCTCTGCCTCTCTGGGCCTGTGAGCAGGAGAGCAATAGCCAAGGGGATGCAGCATGTCTAGGGGTGTCCTAGGGCAGCAGGAGGGATGACACCTTGCAGGTGCCTCTACCTGTGATGAGAGAAAACTGGGAGCTTCTCAGTTGGACTGTATTATATCAATCCTTGCATTTTTATATGTATATATATTTTATCCAATTCCTACAGGAAGCTGGAGCATCTCAAAGCTTTTCTGGCTTACAAGAAATCCCAATAGGATTGTCAGAGCATCCAGGAATACCCAGAGCACAGAAATTACATAGGTCACAGCTAGGGAGCTGTATTACTAGAAAAGAGAATTCCCTGTTGTTGGAATTTCCTTCTTTCTGCAATCACTAGCAATTAGAGTGTTGCAAAAGACTTCTCTTCAAGATAGTTACTCGGGAACAGCACTGACAACTTGAATCCAAGGATTTCTGCAACATTTTATGGTAGCTCTTTGTTCCTTTGAGCAGTATGTGATACTTGTATCCTTTGTAATTTGCAAAATGGCTGTGGATAGTATTGCACAATAATTAGCTGTTGGGAATCCTTGTCCTGAATGTCTTTTCTGTCATTAATATTTGAAAATTAACAGGTGTTCCTGCAGCCAGGAAAAGGAAAAACAGCTTTCTCCCTATCTTTTTTTTTTTTTTTTTTTTTTTGCTGTTAATAATTAAATGCTGCCAAGTAAATGTTTCTAGCAGGCTGTTTGTGGATCTGTCACATATTTAAGCACGTCTGCTCTTCCCAGCTCAATCCTTTAATTGTGACCTTTGTTTTCTCCCCTTGGTTCCATTTGCTTATTCATTCTGTTAATCTGAAATCTGTAAGGGCCTCCATCCCCTGATCAGCCTTGTCATTTGGACTGTAAAGAAAAATGAAACAAAAAAAGCTATCCCTGCAGTAAAATGACCCTGTCTGTATATTTAAGGCAGGCAAGCAAAGCAAACCAGTCCACACTGCACATGTGTCTCACCATCTCCAGCACCAAGGTTATTGCAATCTGATAATGCTGCCCTGGCATTTGTTTGGGTCACAAGTGCCTTTCCTTTAGTGCTGAAGCCACATACAGTCAGTGACAAGCAAATTATTGGCAAGATACCACGAGTTCAGTGCTTGCTGTTCTTCTGGCTCTGTAGGATCCACTCTGCCCTGCCTATGAGGTTGGGGAGGACATTAGAACTGCTGCTGTTGGGCTATGGCTACAGAGCTCAGACACATAAATGTGTGTTACCAGTCCAAATAGATAAATTGTGCCAATGGTCTGAAAGAAAAATATCTCCTTATATTTCATCTGTACACAGCCTTGGATTGGGATTGAGGACTAAAGAACTACAATTTCTCTTAAATTTGTTTGGGGAGGCCTCTATTGTCAGGTTTAGTTGCAGCAGTCTGACAGGTTTGCATGGGGTGTGTTGGGGGGTCCAGTGGATTTTGTCACAGGAAGGGTATTCTTGAGCCATTTTCTGCTTTTGTACTTGACCAGACAATCATGTGACCTTTCTGCACTGTAATTAGTAATTGACTGCCGTGGAGTCCACATGTCTTGGTGGGAGTATGTGCTGGAGATGTCCAGCTCTGCAATAAAATGTTTTTAATTCTCTAATACTAATATATGGAAGTGCTCATATCTGTGGTGTTCACACTCTTTAGATTTTAACATAACTCATTTGTTCTCCTCTTGCTTAAACTTCTGAGGTTAGAGGACAATTACCTGAGCTTTCAGACATGCTGCAAAGGACCATGAGCTGTTGATTCCCACTGTCCTGGGAAGGAGATTCAGAAGAAATCTGTGTGACTGCCAGTGTCCGTGTTAATGGGGGTGCTAGGGGTGTAGGCAAATACATTATCACAGAAACACAGAATGGTTTGGGTTGGAACGGACCTTAAAGCTCATCCAGTCCCACCCCCCGCCACGGGCAGGGACACCTTCCACCAGCCCAGGTTGCTCCAAGCCCCATCCAACCTGGCCTTGGACACTTCCAGGGATAGGGCAGCCACAGCTTCTCTGGGCAACCTGTGCCAGGGCCTCACCACCCTCACGGGAAAGAATTTCTTCCCAATATCTAATCTAAACTTTCTTTCAGTTTAAAACCCTTCCCCCTTCTCCTGATGATGCACCAACACTGGATTGTTTTGTTATGTTTTTATGGGAAAAACTATTTGAGGGAGAAATAACTTGTACACAAATTTGTTGTAGTGATTGTTTTTCAGGAAACTAGTACTGGGCTATTTCCAAATCTGTTGGGCTGAGTATCAGTCGTTTGAAAAGAAAAATAATGTTCAGATTAGGACAGATTTTTCTACCTAAGAGGACAGATATCAATCCTCAGCAAGTCAGATGGTCTAACCCCATAGTCCATTGTGTATCTTCAGCTGGGTTTGTTTCAGAACTGGTCTTCTAAACACTGTAAACTGAATTCTAAAACCCCCTACCTGTGCAGCAAACACCTCTTATTCCCAGGAAGAGAGACATTTTATGGAGATTGCCCATTTAATGCAGGCTTTTGTACATCCTGTATAGAGGGGGGAATTCATGACACAGCTGCCACAAGTAGTAATCCTGCTTGTTATTTTAGAGACTGAAATGAGTTGTTTATGCTGCAAGCACTTTAATAATGTGGTTAATTAGCTGTTCTTCTCCACTGTGAGGATATTTGTCACCTTGTTTTCTGTACCACAATTCCAAGTATGAAGGTTGGGAGCCATGCAGGCAGATACCAGTTTTTGTTTTTTAAAGGTTTGGAGGTCACTGGTGCACCTGATGCACATCAGTGTTGCCCAGTGCATTGCTTAAAAAACAGTCTAATTTTTACAAACATTTTTTTCCCTTCACAGACAGGCCCAGGAGAATGGAATAAGTTATAAGAAGGTCTATACAAATTAAAATTCAAAGCTAAGACTAGAAGATTAGCAATGTACACTAATAGTAAGATTATAAACTTGGCAGCCAGTCTGTTTTTTTAAATGCCCTTTGATTTTAAAATCATAATCAGAGTAATGCAGGACTAGTTTGGGATTCTACACTGATCAGTTTTTCTTTATGAGATGCTGTTTCTGTAGCTTTGCTGCCGCACAGGAGTGTTTGTTGCTAATCTTTTACTTTTAATAGTGCCTGAGTTTAGAAAGACAACAGAAATCAGTACCCAGATGAAGAAGTGTTGTTCCAATTCCCTGAAATGCAG